GTAGAACAAAAATAAAGGAAATCGTTTAGAATAATCAACATTTCGGCTTGGTCATTTGTTACTTATATTTCTTTAGCGTTTTACTTTTATATTAGTGTTTCCCTAGGTGGATTATTTGCTTTTATTTATATTTCTTCATTTGTTTTTCTTTGTGTATAATATTGTTTGATTTATTTTTGGTTTGCCTGTATTTGGCTATTATATTTAATACTGTACATGTATATGTTTAGTTAATCTGTTTTTGTAATATTTTTTATTTTTGTTTCAATATTATTGTATGTATTATCAGTGTTTGCCTGTTGTAGACTTCTTGCTGTTGGCAAACACTTAAATAAATGAATTCAATTATTATTATTATTATTATTATAAAAGAATCAAGGAGAATTACATGGGTTTGAAAAGTAGAGTTCTGTTATGGGTAAAAATGACATTCAGTCTCTCAACGAGTGCTTCTAATTGATGGTTAAGCACAACAGGTGATTTCTCGCCCCTCACCAAGCGTTAGTAAACGAAGCTTAAGTGCAGTTAGTGACATCCGATCTGTCAGCGTACTGGTAAGAGATGTTTAAGCACATACAGTCACTTAACAAGCATTAATTAGCGATTGCTAAGAACAGAAATTGTCAGTGTGCTACTAAGTCATAGCTAAGTACTGTGACAACAGAGAGTTTTATTAAGTGATAGTTAAGTACAGAAAGTTGCTTCCAGTCTATTAACTTGCTGCTAAGTGATGATTAAGTATTTAGTTAGCGATATGTATTTAGAACACCTGTTACGTTTACAGGTCGATTTATTTAAGTAGACTCAGTTTTACATCTCTCCTTTTAATGAGTAGACTGAAAGCTACGTAATAAATATTAGCTATAAAAGTATGAAGTTTGTCACAAGAATCTAAGCTTTTCCGTCCTCAAAATTAGAAGTGACTGATTAGCATATTTTAATAATACAGAAGTGACTCTGAACAGCTGACTTGTGCTGTTTTATGAACTGCTGCTAGACTGGAGTTTGTGATATTCATAATTAGTAATACTCTGATCCAGAATCCAAGCGCTGAACACGAGATTAAAATTCGCATTGCTTCATAAAGTATATGTGTCCTACGAACTGAAACGTTAATCATTATACAGACCTAGTCGACACTATTATAATTACGCACTCCACAATGTTTGAAATCGCTTGTCTTGTTTGCAACGGCATGAATCTTCCGCGAGAGAGAAACCTTTCCTCCCCAGGATATGATGTTAGCTGGAAAGAAATCATTGCATTGATAGTTGTAAGCATGGAATAGGCCAATTTGGAATTCGTGTTCGCTTATTACAGTTATAAAACGTTAGATGGATTGTATCACGGATGGAGACCTGCATGTCCACTTTCAGGTGGCCTCGGATGTTAGTGTATGTGACGTGCTCTCCTCCCCTTGGCCAATGACCGCACAGTGTTTGGGGTCACGTGATAAAGATGGCCATCACGCCCGGTTATACTCGAGGCGGAGCTAGGACACGCGAGTTCATGAACATCACCTGTCCACCTGCTTATACGGCCTGACGGCCCATGTGTTTGTTAAGTTCAGCGAATCAGGATTTCGAAATTTAGGACGCATTGTATGCGTGTGTTGAGGCTTTGGACTTTCTATACAGTGGCCATTGATCGGAGATTGAACCCACAACTTTCCACAGATCAGGTACGTTGCGTGGCCATTTGAAGTAGCCCTAGTTGGTATTCATACCCAGAGATCGGAGAGTTGTTTTTGCGGGTGACTACTAGATAGCGTTGGTGTATGTGTTTAAAATACGCAAAACACAGAACACGTTTCTACTTCAGCATATGGCATTAGTGTGAGAAGACATTTATTATTTTTCTTTCATACTTTAACTTTCATGTTTGTTCGTCTTCAAGATTTCTTCAAAACCGTTCGTTCTTACTTTTTCTTTCATACTTTAACTTTTGTGTTTGTCCTTTAAGATTTCTTCAAAACCGTTCGTTCTTAAGGAAAGGTGTTAAGACTTGTTAATTCATGCGAGGTTTTCTTGGTAATTTTTACTCATACTGATTGATCATTGTCTTATTCTCACCATGCTCTCTTCCATATAAAGTACAGAGATGGTTTACACAATTTATATACATCCGTTGCTCGACGTTAGTAATATATGCCCGTCTGCATATTTGGTATTCTAACTTCTGTCGGTGAAATTTTGACATAGTGAGGGACTGCACTAAAAACTGTACAGAAACTATTGATATATGACAAAGTAAATTGTAGTTTACCTATCGCCTATACCCAAAATCTTACTTCATTTTTTTCTGATACGGTGAATATTTAAGAAAATATAACAAAAATGTCATCTGACTTTATGCAGTGTGATAGTCGTAATGCTTCTATGTTGGTAATAGCATTAATTTTTACTGCTAAAAACAATACAATAATAATTGTCTGGACTGATCATTGGCAGTCTTAAAGTCACTAAAACCACTTCATCATTATTAGAGTAACCATATCCTTCGACAAAAGCTTGTGATATTTAATTAAAACCCTGCGATCAGTTGAAAATATAAAACATAACAGATGCTCAGTTACTGTGTGTATAACATGGCTTGCATTTATTTTTCCTTCTTGTATCTTTTTACACCTCCATAAATTGTATGGAGTTTGTCTTAGAAGGGATGAAAAATAATTATTATGTGATTTGGCATTCACATAGAAATAAATTGGAGATTTATTACCTTTGTTTTTTCAAGCGCTCTGTGGGACATATTAATTGCAGGTTATAAACAGCAGTGTATGTGGCTAACAGTAATAAAAGTTATGTGTCTGGACCAGGTATGTGATCCGGAGTGAACTGTCTGCAGATAGGGTGGTCGCGTTCTTCTTAATGCCAACGGCTTTGGTTCATTTATCGTAGAACTCACATTACTCAGCATGATAATAAACCGAATATCTATTGCCCTATTGTTTTACAAAACTACTTATCATTATTAAAGGAATGAAGGGAATTTATATATTTAGCGTTTTATAACCGTTCTGCAACTGAATTCGAAACCGTCTTTGAAAAGAAATGTTTTATTTATATAGAGGTAGGTGTTCTGGATTGTGGACTTGTAGATACATAACAGCGTTTCTGAAGATGGATGCAGTGTGTTCCTCCTAAACGTTGGTAAATACCTACAAGTTCACACGGCGTAAATACGTAGAACACAAACATCGACATTTTCACGTCCATGAGAATATCGAATTATTTAAAAGTATTTCAGTTTTTATAGAAAACGATAGGAAAGATGAAAATTTTAACTGTTCAGAAATTGGCTTACAGACTTCTGTTTTAGATTATGTAAGAATAGAACAGTTAATGTGGCAAAGATGGTCCAAATAAGTGCTGAAGTGGAAGGAGAACGAGATAAGACCGAGAAGCAGATAAATCAGAGGATACCTTCAGGAAGTAAGCGATGTACATATATACAAAACCATTCTATTTGAAATGGTAGGAAATTAAAGTAGTAATGGGTTTTGATTTTCTATAATTACATAGTCGTTGCAGATTTTGTAAAAATTGGTAAATTCTTTGAAAATTTAAAACGAGGGATACACCGATCTGCATACAGCCTACTGATCTCACAAGGCTTGTTTTTTTTTTGCCTTGAAAAAGGAATACAGATTCAAACATTTCCTCAGACCGCCTCTTACCAATCACCTAACCCTCTTTCGTGCAGACACTCTTGTTACACATAGAAAAAGAGAAAATTAGCTATTGAGTTGTTGAATTCTCTTAAAGAAATATGTTTGCATTGCGTGTACTTACAAGTGTTATGGGTTACGAACAGATGCTACGGACAGATACTAAGATCAGAGCAAAACTACTTGTAAAATTATGTTTACTTTGTTTTTGATTCACCGGATTGTTTTATACGCCGTTCGATTCTTGTGTTAGATTGAATCGGATATCACATTGCAAGTCGATGAAAGTTTATTCTAAGCCAGACGAAGTGGTTGTTTGTACTGACAGTTACAGAGCAATAGGATGTAAACTTAACATGTTAGAAGCTGACTGTACGTTTGCTCTAATTCAACAACTTTGATCATAAACACGAACTTGGTAATTAATGTACGAGAACTATAGCTCCGCTTGAGTAATGGGTTTCTGCAGCAAAAATCTGAAAGTTTAATAGACACTGAACAAGTCTGTATAACGGTAATGATTTAATAGTACTGAAGATGTATCCGGTTTGAACCTTAAGTTTTCTTGTTTGTTTTTTTCTTAAACTCGCCAAACAATATCTGGATAATAGCACGATATAGGTCTCCTCCTCGATCCCTATACTCACCATTCATCATGTTATTCGCATGCAAAGCGACATTATATAACCCCTGCATTTATGTCTCCCACGTGGTCTCTTACGTTAAGCTTTTCGGACCAAGATATCTATGCAATTCTTACTTCCCACACGTATGCTACATGTGCCGCCCATTTTCGGTTGTGGAGTTTCATAACATGCTGATTTTTATTTTAGGGTGTTTCAGCCACCCCCTCCCTCTACATCTAGCCCCAAACTCGAAGGTTAACACTTGTAGGATTTGAGGTTTTCACAGCGGTGAGCCTGAAGATTGCTGTATTCTGGGTTGTTGCGCCGTGTAGTCTGGTGGAAATCTACCAGACTACACGGCGCAACAACCCAGAAGACAGCAATCTTCAGGTTAGCACTTGTCGAATTGTTTTAATTGCGCTCGTGAGTGAGATGTGTGGTTCTCACGGCTGTGATGATATTGATGTTTATCTTCTGGGTTGTAATGTTTTGTGGCTCTCAGGCAGATACCAACGTTCCTGGGGGACATTCTACCTCCTTCTTCAGGACTGTTCCTCCGAAATTATATCTGCCTACGAGTGCACTCGGTCCAGAAGACGAACATCGATATATTTTTTGTGAGGTTTCTTGGTACGCGGTATACGACATAGTGCCTGTCCATACTACAGATGGACGTGTTTAACTGTTATGTTTTATGCTTTCAGTGAGAAATGGTTACTCATGCGTACCCGTGGCGCTGTCTGAGGGGCTGGACATCAGGCTGAACACTGGTGTTCGTCAGATACGATACGGACCACATGGGGTGGAGATTACAACTGCCAACTCTCGAAATCACAGTAATCCTGTCACTTTCAAAGGTAGGACACAGCTGAAGCTATCTTTTATCACGTGGTTATTAGATCAAGTCTTTTTGAAACCATGAAACTGTTATATCACACATTTTGAAACTAGACTTATATTAGATCTGCACTCAATGCAACTCCAGTGAATGAAACAAGCAGTGTAAACAACAACGGCAAAATTTAATTTCTTTAAGTGACTCGTGAAACAATACATTGAATTATTCTTCACGGAATTCATATTGCAACAAGTTATGAAATATAACATAGCGTAACAGAAATGGTGCTTTTGACAGAAATTGGCCTTTGACCTATCTAAATGGCAGGGGAATTTCCTACATTGGAGTACAGCAACACATGTGGGTCTTTATGTAAATTGCGCGTCATTGTTGTCTGATTTTAACCAAAATTGAAAAGTATCGATAAACTTTCGTGAAACTCTCCAGTATCCAATTCCATTAAAACCCATTCTGCCCTTCTCGATTTGTTCACAGACTATTATCTGTCGATGAATTCACTTAGTAATTTATGAAAATATCGCATTTTGTTAGCCCTTCAAAGCTTTAATTCATATTCATGTGTCTCTAAAATAAACAGCGTTTATTTGTTCAAACAACATTTACAAATTGATACTTATGATAGAGACGTGTTGTGTTGAGTTATAACAGCCTGAAAACTGTATTTTTAACTATTATTTAGATTAACTTTGGGTTTAAGATATTTAAGTCCAGGGTACTCATAACGTTAAAGTAGTTCGTCGATGTTTTTTACATTTACAAACCAAATCGTCGATCAGATTCAAAATATTTTGCCATGCGCGTGTGTGCCAAGTGCAGGTGACCTCAGGAAGCTCAATAGAATTTTTTAAGCATTTTTCTGAATTTGAACTAAAGGCTAGGGAACTAATAAGTTTACTGCAATAGGATTTTCTCTCATTGATTCCGAGATAATCGTCTGCTCTGTTAAAAAGTGGGTGACATATCGACAAGTTCTTTAATTTTTGTAATTATTCTTTCTGTGTATTTTAGGAGGGAATAAGTTGTCTCATGAAATTTACGAGTTACCCATGAATGGGTCGTATTCTCTAAAAAAAATTGGAACAAAAAGTTTTGGAAAGAAATTAACAAAACACATTCATTTAAGTGCTTAAATCCATACACAGAGCTAGAAGAGATTTTAAATTAATATTTCCAAAACGTAGTAACCTGTTTTTACTATATTTCGCTAAAACTATGTATGGAGTAAAAACAACCTTTGGGACACATTAATTTGTATGTCATGCAGTATTTATTCCATTAGGCTTTCATGTATTGATAAAACACAGCTGAAATGCTACCGTTTCAAGTTAAAGTAAACACAGGTCTGTGAGCTGTTTGCTTTCTACGTCTCAAGCACGGTTTTCACGATGTTAGTAAACATAGAAACGTTGTAAGACTTGAGGTTCTCACAGCGGTGAGTATGAAGTTTTCCGTCTTCTGGGTTCGTTCTTCGTCTAAACGCGGACAGCGGATGCCGACTACTGCCACATACTACATCGGGGTCTTCTCGTCGTGATTTTCCCCTATCATTTACATACATCACGTCTCCGCTTCCATCACATCTTTACCTATCATTTTACTGTGTCTCATTTGGCGCTATATAATCTCAGCAAGTATAAAGCGTCGAGAAGTAGTGCGAACAACAAACAGGTATCCGAGGAACACGAGACGACTGGAGAATTGGAGCATGTCATTATAATTCTGCTTGGAGAGTTGTGACGTGTGGCGTCTGGCAGCGAAGGTAATGCACGGCGTTAATGGACACTAATTGAGTTCGTCCTCTGCGCCTTTGAAGTGGGGGAAGGGAATCAAGCACTCTGAAGGATCGGTCAGCCGAAACGCTTATTACGCGGGTCACCAGTAAATTACAGTTGTCTGCGTTGAAATAATAGAAATGAACTCTAAAATAACGATGTGGGTGCAGACGTAATGATGTATACCGACGTTTTGGAGGAACATGAATTGCCTCAGACTTTTACTGACGTGAGAACCTCAAATATTATAGATCTCTAAACAATTCTGATTTACTAACGTAAAGAGACCGTTTAAATTAAACGGGAAATAAGTTATTTCGTATCATCATCACTCGTCATTTTTATTCCTTCCCTTTATCTCAGCTGTCCGAACTATCGTAGTTCCCCCGTTTCTTTAACTTCTTTATGCCTTTTCGTAGCTTCACTGCCCTTTCTCACTTATTCCTTTTCTGTTTATTTCATTTATCCATCCCGTCATCCTCGCTCTGTCCCTTTCTTATCTTCCCCCCACCCACTTTTGAAAACGTGTCGCAGAAGAACAATAAAAATAACTTATGCTATGTGTTACGTTATTTGAACGTCTTGTATGGGGTCCGCGCGTCCATTTAAATACAGAGCAAGAAGGCATTAAGGAACGAAACTGTGCTGTGTATAATACAAATTTCATTTTAAAAGCAGGTCTCGGTTTATAAATATTTACAAGTTAAATCTCAATGTTATTGTCATATGTAGCTTGGGTTAAAATTCCTGAAGAGTTTACTCAATTAGCAGTGATAGATATTTCTTGATTAGTCGCACAAAACTGAAGGTTTACGACTCAGTTTACGAACTAATTTTTGCGAGTTTACTTTACACATTCGATTTGATGTGTAGTAAATGTTAATACGAATCTGTTGTAGATATAAATAATGAGGGATAGTGGAATTAAGACTTGCACTGCATATTGTTGTACCGCGTACGCTACATTCCGAATTGTAATCCCAATTCCAGGTCCTTCTATTGGACTCACCAGAATAGGATTTTTACCTGGAGACGGCAGCACAACCGGATCTCGAAACTTAGTGTCTTATTGTAGAATATGAAATGATAGATTGAGTCTACAGGGTGGGTGGGAAGTAAGTAGGCATTAAATAATCGCTTAATACCATTTCTCAATGCCTACTTACTTCCCACCCACCCTGTAGAATAATATAAGTATTGCACGTATATTTATTAGACTAATTACTCTGTTTACAAAAAAAAAGCATGTCGGTGAATCATATCCTATTCTATATTAATCCAATCTGTATTCTCAGGTCCTGTTTCCCTAAAGGTGGCGACTGACTTGTAACATTTGCCTGTAATGTAACGAGTTACAAATCGAGCATTACACAAGTGAAGACAGCGAACGGAGCCGCTCGATGCGAGCTGCTCACGCTCGCGGGCGCTCCATCGTGTTGTCGGTTTTTTCGCGAATCCCTTTGAGTGTTACATTACAAGTCAGTCAGTCAGTCGAGCGGCGTCATAACGAGCATTCACGAGTTCTTTA